TTTTTTTTTTCAGTTTCAAAGTCCAGAGTGCAACTCATGAGAACGTGCAGGGTATGATGGGAAAAGTAAGCACTCCAAACATTTTGCAGCTTTCCTATAAATGAGGCAAATATTCACTCACACTGTCAGCAGTGCCTGTTCTTTACCGAGTGTGTCTCTAACGTGAACCCAGCTGGAAGCAAATAGTATTTTATTAGTGATGAAATGTAGCAGCAGGAAAATATGGCAAACATAAAGAGGTGCAAATAAATACAAAACAAAATGAGGCCATTATAAAAGTAATAAAAGATAGTATAAGCAATGACAGTACYAATGCAGAGTTCATATAATTTATCTGGTAAAAGTGTTTGAGAAAATGCTTATTACACTAAACAGACATGAGAACACACAGAAGCACAATTTTTCCAAAAACAATTTTGTCATTTCTGAAAATGTCCTCCCAAACACGGCACGGTTTCTAGAGATATTTTCATCCACACGAAGTACAGAAAATGACCCAAAATGCTGTYAACTATTCTGAAAGCCAAACAGGAAACAAGGCAGGAAGGATGCTCAAAAAGCTGATTCTCTGGGTTTAAAATCTTGACACAACAATAAAAAAAGATGCCCTCAGGTTAAAGGTTACATTAAAGGTGAGATTGTTTTCAAAAAAGTTGCATTTCATGAAAACACAAGAGCTGCCTGTTGAGATTTTTTTGACTGAACATAACTTTCAAAAAGTAGTGTTCACTTATAGGCTCCTACAGGAAAATTAAATTTCTGTGTCGATGCAAGTCTGAAACAAAGAAAGTTAGCAAATTTACTGAAACCTGTAGATGGTTGCAATGTTTTCCATCACTTATGAAGGTAAAATAATACAAACTACTGAAATATTGTCTAAAATTAACGGAGGATTTTTTTTTACTATGAACATGTTCAGAGTGAATTATTAAACTCTTCCTAGTTGAGCTGTTTTACATGTGGCTGAGCCAGCACACCAGTCACTTCTCAATAACAAGCTTTTTTACACCGAGTATGTTGGCTTTACCTTTTTTTT